AATTCTCCCAAATATAAATTACCCACTTATAATAATGCCTATGGTATGCGAACTTGGCAGTATCTCCTGCCGCAGCTGCTCAACGATCTGGAAAGCGCCGTGCATGACCAAATCGTTAAGAAACCAGATAAATGTAAAAGAATTTTGAAATCGGCACTTCTAAATAAATAACTTATATTTATTGCAACTTAACAATCAATTGTTTTATATATCTACTTTTCTTTTGTTTCGCTTCTTTGTCTTTGTACTATAGTCTGAAAAAAACCGTTTAATCTCTGTTCTTTTTGTTTATATATTATATAATTGTGAAATGGTTAATAACGTCTGTATTTGTTAAATTTGCTGATCTTATAAATTAATAAGCGACCAGTAAGTACACCTAAACCCTGTGGGTTTTTAGTACTACTGTCTAACCGATGTTTAATTTGTTATGTGAAGTTTTTGTATAATAAATAAAAAATAAAAAAATATCTAAAAAAAAAACTAGACTGTCTCCATATGTCACTCGGGTAAAAATTACCAATCGAATGACCAACAACCACACTCGTCAAAATAAGTTTAGTCGTTTAGCTGTCGGCCGGTACAATGGATCACGAATATTGTCAATTGCATGATAGGGACAGATAAAACGATTGGTAGCAAATAAAACGCCGCAAGTGGTCATGGATCGGCCACACGCTTCGTAGGGATCCCAGTCATATTGCCAGGGAGGCCCTTGAGTGGATCCCGCTAGGAACAAGAAGACGTGGCCGTCCTAAACAAACTTGGCGGCGATTAGTAGCTGCCGAAATAAAGGCGATTGGGCTGACATGGCCCGAGACCAAACGCAGAGCCCAAGATAGAGCGAACTGGCGGCGCACTGTGGACGCCCTCTGCCCCACTACGGGGACATAGGACTTTAAGTCAAGTCATGATAGGGCCAAACTCATGACACGGGCACAAATTTAGTCGAGGACGATACGATGTGACAATCACAAATATTCGTGCTAGGCCCACTGAGTAGTTCCTGAATGCAATGGCTGCAAATTGCAAAGTCATTGGCGAAGACTGACAGAGTCCGAGAGTTGACTAAGTCTTATGATGATGTTCGAACTTTGAACTCCAAAATTAGCTATCATTTGTTTTAATTACAAAGCTATTTTTTAATAGCGAATTATATCGTAAATCATTTGATATTCAACTTTATTACCTTCATTTTAAGGTTTGTTTTTCTATTAGTCGTCTAAAGAATGGAACAACAATACGGAGTAATTTGACTGAAGATAACGCCTTTTATGTATTAAGTCATATTGAAGAGTTGATACATAATGCATACTTCATAAAAAGAGATCATTATGTAGTCTAGACAGACGGAAGGCTGAAAATTTGGACTAAACATTAACGACTGTTAAATGTTGGGCCACGAATACAGCGGATTGAAACAGTGTTTGAAATACGAAAAAAGTATTACATTAAAAGTATTTGTCTGTAATTTTATTATCACTTTTGTAAATATAAAACCTTTTTTTTGTAGCCGTTACGATCAAATAATTTATAAGCATTTTCCATAAATGTCAAACATTTTGAACATAATGTTAAGTAACTTGCTTTTGTTCGAGAAAAAGGTTATTTTGGCTGTGACCTTTAGTTATAAATGTCTAGCTTAATTAATAATACAAGTTCATTGAATGGCAGCTCCGTTAGTATTATTTTTTGACATTCTCGTGTCACAATTTTCGATCCTATACTCCTCCGAAACGGCATGACCGATTCTCATGATATTTTGTGAGCATATTGAGTAGGTTTGAGAATCGGTCAACATCTATTTATAATCCCGCGCGGACGGAGTCGCGAGCTACAGCTAGTATGTTATAAAGAGGAATTTCGAGCTCAGAAGCCCACGGCTCCTGATACCACTATTATATGGATTAAAATCGAAAACATTTTGAATTAATTATATACTTAAAATTATATAAAGTGACAGCAAAATTTTATGAAAAGTATAGAACAATTTTCTCCGGAAATATTTCAAAGCAGACGCTGTTTTTATGGCCACACAGAGATTTCGACTTTACATAATATCTTTGTAAGAGAACATAATTGACGCTAGCAAAATGCTCAAGCTCCATTAAGTTATTGCTTAATTTTCTTATTGTACACGCAATTATACGATGAATTAACATAGAACAACCAAAGTATTTTAAACTGGTAACCCGTTACTTTACTTTGGTTTGATTTTATTACAAGAAAACGCTGTAATATTCAAAAATTTACAATAGAGCAACAAGGAAATAGTAAATACTTCTATTATAAAGAAATGCTAACTGCTAGCAAACTGTTACTGACTGACTGAAGTAACTGAGACTAATTTAGATATCTTTAGTTGTTGACCGCGACTCCGTTCGCGCGGAATTGAAACAAAAGCTAATTAGTAGCCTATATGTTCTTCCAAACTATATGTACAAACTTCATCAAGACCCTTTTAGCTGTTCTGAAGATACTTTCAAAGAAACATCCATCCATCTAAATATTCGCATTTATAATTAGTAAGATGTTAGTAACACAATAACTATGCTATGATGTGATACCGCGTATAACCAATTTTTTTCCCGTGAATCCAGGAATTGGTTTGAAAATTTTATTCCGCGAATTACGAAACTTTGGATAACGGATTCGCGATTAAGAATCTACTGTATTTTAAATTTGAAATAAAAGAATCTTTACGTTTGTAGCTCAGTGTCTATCAATGCAAAAATTTATTTCAACATCTCGCTAAATATTTACAATGCAGTGCAAACATTTCAAACACGAGGCCATTCCTGTGATGCAATAAAAAGATCTTATAAGATATTACTCATAAGTCTTATTTAGCTTTAAATGTAGAACTGTCTACATTTTATCTTTTATCTTTTAGTATTTTTTTATACATTTTTAATACGTTCTTAAGTCTAGCAAACCTATTTTTACGAGTTCACATGTTTATTTTTGTACAAATCTTTTCATTTTAGAGAATTGTAAGCTAAATCGCAAACACGAGGAGTTAAATATAACTAAAGAATTCTTTAGCGATACCTTTTAGTTTGGAGAAGTCAAACATGAATAAAAATCTACAACTTTGGCCGGAACTTTATCTTCCAGTTCTTTTTATAGCAAAAGGTGGCAAACCAGCAAGCGGTTGAACAATCCTTCTGTGCTTTCTTCGGATTCATTTACCGTAGATTTCATTGCCGAAACAAATGTACAAAAATAGAACATCTTTCCACTTAATATTTTTTTTAAACTCAGAGTTAACAACATAAATTCGCCAGATTTTTTTGTAGTATAGAATCTTTGTGAATTATTTTCTTTATAAGGGCTGGTAGAAAACGGGTGGTGGGAACACCGAGATGTTACATTCTTAGATATCTGCAAGACCAGAGGAACTGCAGATGGGTGGCTGGCCTTTTATAATCGTAAAAAGATAGGCTCGTTCAGTCATGGGGGCTAGGTAAAGTGCATTCGATCCGAATCCATTCCACGCGACACAATCACGTGACTTATCGAATATTGTTAGTTGTATACATTTTTGAAGTTCGTTATGGAATCGTTTCGGAGCGAATGCACTTCGTCTAACCCCATTTCTATATCACTTGGTTTGTGCGTTACATCAGAAACTCTTATTTTTATCGAACGCACAAAAAAGAAACATAATATTACCAATTAATGTTGACAAATGTTCTATACGCACGTAAATAATACATGTAAGAAAGAATTCGTATGAGAAAACTTTAGAAAGTACATTCAAAGAGCACGCGATGGTATCGGGCGAGAATCGATCTTAGACAATGGAACGATTGCTTCCGTTGATATACATCATTAGCAAATTGCGTAACGCATTTGCAACAACTAACCAAATGCGTTTATTAGTTGTTAATATGCTTAAATGAAAACTACATTATTTACAATACTAATTCAATGAGCACTTTTTGCGACTACATTGGTCACAATTCCCGCGCTTTTCTCTTCTTTACAAATATCTTTTTATAACTAAAAAGGCAAAGGTTCTGTCCATTATGCCACGTATTTGGCATAATGTTAATTCTGCATTCAACACAAGTTACCCGATATGCGTTAAACGACCTTAGTGGGCGCTAAGGTACTTCTTAATTAACAATTAAATGACTGTACGTGACAGTTAATTAATAGTACTATAGTACACTAGTAAAAACAATCTACTCTATTTTTTCTATTGCAAAACAAACTTATAATTATTATTTTTTTTAAACATTTAAAAATGTGCACTCTACGTATCTTGTGACCTAAAAACAAGTCCACAAAAACATTTATAATTTTCATCTTCAATTATATTCTCAGCGTGTAACAAAACCGAAAGTTTAAAAAGATAGCGATCTTCTCAAGTTAAAGTCAATCCGCATTTGAACTCAGAATATCAGAGAAAGGAGGTTTTTTTACCCTCCTTTCACTGCGAACTCTGACATCATCTCGTAATTTGATGCTTTGCAGTCAATGAACGATTTACTATGAAAGATGTCTCTTAGAAATCTCCATTGAAGTGCTACCGTGTAACACTTTGAATGCAAAACCAACCTTAAGTCTAATAAATCAATGTTTCAACAAGACTGAATAACAGAGTAAGGCTATGTTAGTAAAAAATAACGTGATCTGTAAAGAAAGTATCTTAAAGACAAATTATATAATCGCCTCATCGCCATTCTACCATCAAAACTTTTGGACATGTGCTAGTTCGCGCCTACGTAACTATTGTAGCAATGTTATATTTCATTATATTTGCTATTAAAAAAAGAAGCAAATACTTTTACATATTCGTAATTTAAAATTAAAAATAAAACAGTCCAAAGAATATTTTAAGAAAGAATGTAAGAAAAAGAAGAAATCAATATTGGTATGTTGCATGTAACCTCGAAAAAAAAACATTTTATACACTAATTTTAGTTATTGTAGACTGAAAATAAACTAATTCTATGTACTCACGCGCCGACGGCGAGCGGCAGCCACGTCGGGTGGTGGCGCAGTGGCTCGAGCGAAGCGGACGCGGGAGCGGGCGCGGAGCGGAACTCACTTAGCACTCGCTTCACCAAACGCGCACTCACAGCGAACAGTATCACCATGGCCAGTACGCAAGTCCCACCGAATATCGCCCATAGTGCCTATAGACAAATACATAGATACTGAGTTACATTAATTTCCAATGCTAAGTCAGATTTTTCGTTATTTACGGAGATTATACTTACGTAAGTTGCCATCGTGATCTTCTTGGCTGCAAGTGGATCTGCAAAAGATTTAAATATAATAACAATGTTAGTTGATTTAATAAAATCATTTAAGTAGTAACGCAGTATTATATTTCTGAAGTTACATTTACTAAAGAAATATTAAGTAAAAGTGTGTACATTTACTGAACAACTTCATAAGCATTGTATTAATGGACATTCTAGCATTCTATTTGACTATACACCTTTTTAATTGAACTAAATACTTATATATTTTCACAAATTGTAAATCTTTTTAATTGAACTTCATCTTCAAAACATTTACAATAATCATACCATAAGCAGTAGCGTTTCCAGCGGGTCCAACACAGCCACGTTCATCAATAAGATTAACTCTTGCTAATAGTTTGACATCAAGCACAATGTTGCGGGATTCACTCCGCTCTCCGCTGCGTTTGTCGCTCCGCTCGACAGTGGGTAGCAGCATCCATCGCGGGCCATCGGGAACTGCTACTGGAGAGTCGACATCCACACGACGAGATACAGCGTGTGCGAACCAGGGGGATGGGTGTGCGTCTGACACCATTTGTTTGCCGATGCTGTGATAAAGAATATTTGTATAGTCTAGTGTTTGGCACGTCAAACAGAAGTATAGTCTTGATCTACACGTGCCAAATCTAATCATATATGCATGAATTCAGTATGATAAGAGGCATTACTGAATTTAGCTATACTAGTTTTTGGGGCGCTTTCTACGGAACCTTTTGTTTACCATGCCTTGACTTCTGGCGCCCCTTTCTGTCCAACGCCCTGGGCGGTCGCCTAAGCGTGCCCTACTTTAACGCCGGCCCTGACCAGAGGCATGTGTAAAACATTGTTTACTTCGACTTCATTATGTTGCTGTATATAATTTACTTATTGTTAATTTAGGAACAGAATATATTAAACATTATGTTTTCATTAAACGTTTCGGTAAACATTTATAAGTAAGGAATCTGTTAGTACATTAATATTTGTCTTATAGAGTTAAGGTCACTAGAATTTACTTAACAGTGTGCTGTTAAAACTAGATGAAGGGCGCGATAATCACAATAAGTAATTCATAACGTTTTCTTACCTATCAACTTTATGTGAAATAAATCATGGAAATGCTAAAATATTCAAACAAATGAATTATAATTGTCATACGTTAACTGACGATCTTTTGTTACTTATTAATTACGATAGCATTTTTGCTATTTTTTTTCTACAGTAATATTGACCTACTTCGTTATTAACACGATTACACTCTATTTTAGATCTTACCAAGTTCTAAAATTAACATCAGCATTCAGGATGATTTGTGAATACAATTTGTATGCGTTGAATTGTTTACAAAACAACATAACACTGTTGTCTGATTCTTTTCATGTACGTAAACTTTATAAATCAAACATAACGTGTGTTTAACGATGAATTTCCATTGCCATAACACTTGTAGTAAAACATATTGGTATCTCTATTTTTATATTGGACATGAGAGGGATGGAAACTTGCAATTACTGGAAACTTTTTTCATTTTCCAGATGAAACTCTATATTCTCTATGCCAATACTAAAGAGGAAAGATTTATTGTCTGTTACGTAAATTACGACCTGACATTGTTGAAGCGGTTTATTAATTTCACTAGTAGAATATTACATTATCCAGAAGTAACAGTTATGTATTTATAATGTTTATGTTTATATATTAATTAAAATACATATATGTACGAGTATAACTACTATCAAGTCAACTTTACCTAACTAATTGACACGATCGAATTAATTAATCAATTCAATAGAAAATAACCTATAAATATAAACCTAAGTATCCAATGCGGCATGTACATGAGTCTGTTTTATTCTTTCTCTTTGTAAATAATGGGATAGCAATATTTAAGTCGAATACAGATGCGACGTAAAGTGAAGACGCAGAAGGCGCAGGCATCTTGCCGCATCAAATGGTTTTAATACAAAATGTAGATAGGCGACAGGCAAGTTGTTTCATTCGTTCGACGCTAGGGAGATAGACTAAGTGCATTAGCTTCGAAGCGATTCCATAACGAACTTCATAAATGTATCGAAGTGACTATAACTTTCGATAAGTCACGTGATTGTCGCTCGTCAGTTAAATACAATTTTTAAGTTCGCTATTTAATCGCTTCGAAGCGAATCCACTTTGTCTAACCCCTCTGCCCCTGCGCCGCGTATTCGCCGATATTATAATATATTATAAGGTAAAACACAGATGTAAGTATATAGATATACCTGACAAAGTAGTACATCTTCTTTAGTTCGGGTGGTAGTCTATACGGGAAGGGCGGTGGAGGAAGAGACCAGGTGACGTTGACAAAGATTTCCCCGTGTATGGAGACAGTGTGTGCTGACACCTGGGGTATCGGCAGTCGCGGGGAATGCGCACATGAGCATACCCCAGCCACGCATTCTGCAACAAGAGGATATAGTGTGAGTGGTCCAGTAAAGCGGTGTTATCACGTTTAGTAATAGAAAAGCAAGCAGGAATAATGTTAGACGACAGAAACAATAACATCACATTATCACCTGTCTTCTATGTGGTCGTGGTATTTCACCGGACAGACTCTAACGCTCAACCTGTTTGTTTAATTGTTAATGTGCATACATTTTTAATAAATAAAATGAAAATAAATAAATTTTGGTAAGATTCAATCAGGGCTACATATGGCTATGGGCTATGTTATTGAGTTCTACAAAACAAAGCCATTTTAATGATTGATAGTATGTATTATACATTCTGAATATCATAATATATTAGTAGGAAAATGAATTATCATCTAAAAATAACCCTTTTAAGCGGCAGAATAACAATACCGAACGTACGAATGGAAAGCTATTATTTCTTTACAGTCATTCGTAATCCGTGTTGTTAAAATAGATTTTTAATGTTGGCAGAATGTTTTGTAAATTTTACATGTTGTTTTACTTGTTTTATGAAGACTATTTGCTATTGTTTATTGTATTAGATAGCTAAAAGCGTATACGGCGTAAAATTTTAACGTAAATTGTAGTCAACGATAGTACGAGACAATAATAAAAATTGCGCAAACACATTTTTCGGGCCCATCGGCCACTTTGCCGGTAGAACGGACGGCCGATGAGGCCGAAAAGTCCTAGAGTGGCGGCCGCAGACGGGTCGACGCAGTGTAGGAAGGCCTCCCGCACGATGAACCGATGACCTGGTCAAGGTTGCGGGAGTGACCTGGATGCAGGCGTCACAGGACCGGGCATTATGGTAATCGATGAGGGAAGACTACATCCAGCAGTTGATAAATTTAGGCTGATTATGATGATGAAACACATTTTTGTGAAATTAAGCTTTTGCTTAAAACTTTAAGATAACACCCATACAAGACATATTATTATGTCACTTGTTTTGTGTATGAAAGAGTTGATAAAATGTTTTAGTTAAAATCTTTTACTAGTGTCTTTTCACTAACTTCCTATGTTCTTACATTAGACAATGTACTACATTTCGATTCAAGCTTTATGCTGGCTCGAAATTTCAAACAAGACGCTGGGCTTTTTAACATACTACGAGCCTAAATAAAGTGTGAACATAATATTACCTTCAAGTTCTACATTAACGTTTGCTGACGTATGCCCATCCCACGGGTGGGCAATGAGTCTAACTGCGTACGCGCAGCCCGGCCGCACCGCGCAGCTTTCCGCCACTGGACTTGGCTGAGGAGGGACCACCCACCATCTAGACTCCTAAGTAACAAATACATGAGTTATAATAACGAATTACAGGATTAAATAACATTAAGTACAACATTTTAAAGCAAAAGTAAGTTAAAGTATATTCTAGATAGATGTTTAAAATCTTACTAAAATTATAAATCCAAATGTTTGGATGGATGTTTGTTTGAAGGTATCACTAGAACGACTGCATGGATCTCGCTGAAATTTGGCATAGATGTAAAAAATATTTTGGAAGAACACATAGGCTACTCATTGAGTTTATAATTCCGCGCAGACGGAGTTGCGGGTGACAGCTAGTATAACATATAATAGGATAAAGATGGCTACGTTATAAAATTCTTATATATCAACTTCTCGTAGTTATTACAAACTTTTTTATATGTGTACAATATATAGAAAAACTTTTCGTCTAAAGAACTTATATTAATAAAAATATATCGTGGAAATTACATTTAAAAGCAATGAAATCTTGTTAACTGCGAAGTAAGTAAAGTTTTATCGAAGCCGGTTCACATCGGGAACTTCATAATTAGGTTCTATACATTTATAATTTGTTTTGGCCTCCCGCCAAATCAATATCGGCATCCAGTTGTTTTCTTCACAATTTTATTGAATATTTTACTACGTCGTGACGTGATTCGAATTCTTTTGAACAAAGAATGAGAGAAATGTAAAAAGCTAACTATTTATAATAATCATCATCATCAGCTCACTATACGTCCCCACCGAGGGACTCGGAGCCTACCCTAAGTTAAGGGTGATTAGGCCATAGTCAACCACGCTGGCCAAGTGCGGGTTGGTTGACTTCACACGTATCTTTGAATTTCTTCTCAGATATGTGCAGGTTACATCACGATGTTTTCCTTCACCGTAAGAACGTCGGATAAATGTACATATGTAAATCGGAAATGGAAAAACACATTGGTACATGGCGGGATTCGAACCCCTGAGCCACTGACGCTCTTTTTTAAATTTTATTTTATTATTTTATAATAATAACTTTCCATGATGTAGTTAAGATTTGGCCCCCTTAAATTTATTAACGTAATGTGGTCTAGACGGGAGGGAATCAAACTAAATCCTTCCTAATCTTACTTAGGGGGGAAGAGATTTTGCTAAATATTACGTTATTATTTTTCAAGCAGAAAACAATATGAAATTGCGTGATAAATTATTTCTAGAGTAAAATGTGAAATGAATGTTAAATGTTTAATATATATTTAGTTTTATGATTGTGATTCCATAAAACGGTAATATTCACAAAATCTATTCTTTGCTAGTCTTAAATAAAAGTTTTATTTTTTATTTTTTTAGTTTTTTTTTCTTATTCTTTTTTTAGTTTTTTCTCCCCGGCTACATAATCGGAAATCCGTACCCTTAACGATTAGGACAGAAGGAAGACAGGCGTGAAGTGGAAACAATTCCGCGTTTCGTCTGATGAGTGCGTCCTGGAGGCCTAATTTAGTCCTCTTTCCCTTCCTACCCTCTTTTCTTGCAAGGAAAGGATGGGAAGTGGAAGACTTTCCGGATGAGAGGATGCATGGAGGGAAAAACATTTTTGTAAAATTAATTGATTAATGTTTTTCTGTTATTTATATTTCAAAATTCAACATAAAGTAAATACAGAAGTTTCCTATCGCATAAATTTGTTATTGAATATTTGTAAGTAAAATAAATTAAATGTTATCAAAGTTTGCTTATTTATAATAACTTTAGAAATTGATAAACTTCTTGAAATCATTAAGTTTATTTAATTTCATTCAATAAACTTCTATATTTATACAACTTAATTGAGTTGTACTAATTAGTATATTACTCAACCAACCCGCACTTGGCCAGCGTGGTTGACTATGGCCTAGTCACCCTTAACTAATGGTTCGAGCCCCACGGTTGGGAAGTATAGTGAGCTGATGATGATGAATTAGTACAGAGTAAAAAGAAAACTGCGCCAAAAATCTATTTATATAATCTTACTAATATTATAAATGAAAATATTTAGGTGCATGTTCGAAAGTATGTACAGAACGGCTGCATGGATTTCGTTGAAAATTTGCTTAGATGTAGAACATAATCCAGAAGGAATAGGCTAATAATAAAGTTTTTTCATTCTGCTCGGACGGAGTCACGGGTAGCAGTTAGTGTTATTAATAAAACAATTGCTCGAATTAAAGTCTAATAAGAAACTGAGTTATTTTTTCTATGATATTAACTAAAGTTTACGTTGTTTCTTGCCTGAATTACGCAGTACATCTATACGAGTAAAACGAAATGTTTTTTTTGTTGGTTAATTACGTGAACGTCCTACTACATATTGTAAACAGTAGAATCTAAAAAAGGAAATAAAAAATCTACGGTACTAATGTATAGTAATACATTTATACACGTCGTTATAAAAATATAACAATGTTATTTACCCCTGGAATGTTGTACTCGTAGCACATTGGTGTCATGCAGTCGACGGTGTCTGTCACGCTGCGAACCTCAAGCGAATAGTCTGACACCGGAGGACCTGATGGAAAAAATAAAAAACTATCACAACTATGGAATTTGTCTTACTAATATTTAAATAATATATAATATATAAATGCGAATGTTTAGATGGATGGATGTATGTTTGTTTGAAGCTCTCTCCGAAACGGCTGAACGGAACTCGATGAAATTTATCATAGATGTAGGACATAGTCTGGAAGAACACATAGGCTACTTGTTACGTTTGTTTATAATTCTGCTTGGACAGAGTCGCGGGCCACAGCTAATATATCATAATCATAGTATCATCTCGCTAACTTTGACAAAATAAACTACACTCGGGTGGTAAAAATAATCCTCTTTTCTGTCATATCAACTCGTCCGTTGATGTCCAGTATATTAAGTGGTAAAAACCTTAAATATGGCCGCAACGAGTCGCGATCTGATTTTACATTTACGCTTGTTGTTTGAGTTTATTCATTACATATAATATACATATACATAAGTGCGCGGTAAGATACCAAGACCACATATAAGACAGGCGTGAAGTGGAAGCAATTCCGCGTTTCGTCTAAAGAGTGTGCGTCCCGGAGGCCTAATTAAATTATCTTTCCCTTCCTACCCTTTTCCTTATAAGGAAAGGATGGGAAGTGAAAGTGGAGTTTCCCGATGAGAGGATGCATGGAAAGGGAAAATATTTTCTCTCTGTGCATCCTTTCCTCCGTCGATTAAAGGTAGGCAACACATATACAATTGCGTATGTCTATGGGCAACGGTCACTTCGCTATTTCGTTGCCACCTAATGATATAAAAAAACAAATCTTTCTTCTTTACAATAGCATAGATTTTTTCTTAGGTAACAATTTCCAACATTACCAACTTGATTCTAAAGCTTAAATTTTCGAATTTAAAATGTACATCCATTTTTCAGTACGGTACAAGACTTCAAGGTCATTGGTGAACGCTATACCACTTGCAATATAAACCAATACGCAAATATGTGAAAGAACTTGTATATAGATCTTAAAGCGTAAACATTGAATGAACGCGTGGGTATGGATTTGAATGAATCGAAACTTGTGGTTGATTTTAAAAATAAATACGATATATATCTGCCTATCTTTATAAAAGATAGCAACTTGGAAAACATTTTTTTATATTCCTAGCTGTACCCCCGACTACGTCCGCGTGAAAAACTGTTTTTGGATAGCATTTTAATTATTCAGTTTCTATTTACTAACATAACATATAACAACACAACATATTAAACTCATAAAACATTGATTTTCATCCCCTATTGTTATATTGCACCCTTGAAGATTAATTTTTTACAATTATATATATAAATATGTTATATTTATTTATCTATACTAATGTTATAAAGTGGAAGAGTTTGTTTAAACGCGCTAATCTTAGGAACTACTGGTCCGATTTGAAAAATTCTTTTTTTGTTAAATAATCCATTTATAGAGAAAGGCTATATAAGATTACGCTGCGACCACTAGTTTTTTTTAAATTCCGCACGGACGGAGTTGTGGGCGACAGCTAGAATTAAATAAACAGCCTAAAACATAACTTTCAAGCTTATATCTGTAAAAATGACGTCACTATACGGTAAAAAGTAGCTTACCTTCCCCAGTCTCCAAAATATCTGTTTCCCTATTTTCATTTTGCATGAAAGAAGGACAGACAGACAGAGTTACTATCAAATTTATAATATTAGTAAGAATTAACCAGCGCTTGACCACAAACCCACTTGATAGTAAGTTACTGTCATCGAAGTTCACCTATTCAACCTACTTTTGAAGACATCTAAATTATAACTGTCCGGAAACATTGACGCCGACAACTTGTTCCAAATTCGAATATTATTGGGTCTTTAAAAAAAAAACAAAGATACGAATATGTTTTTTTAATATTTTTTTCCTCGGTGGAAACTTACGGCGATAAAAACTTTCTTCGCAATTAAAATATGACGTTTACATTCGTACGTTTTATCACCGGATATGACATTTTGATATCAAAGATGTATATTAATCATTGTAGGGATTTCCTGTTGATTTTTACTATTTAAAATATCCTTTTTTAAATCAATTTTTCTTCTTACATTTGCATGGTCGGATAAATTCTTTTTTTATTATATTTTTTTTAGTTTATTTCACAGTTACAGGATACATATATCATTCATAGCACTAAAGAAACTCTCAAAAAAAAAACAGAACTAAAAGCAAGGTCTACATACAAAAGGCTTATAATATTAGTGACGAAAAAGGAAAACAAATTACAAAGCAATCATACTAACATTATAAATGCGAATGTTTTGATGGATGTTTGGAAAGTATCTTCTGAACGATTGAACGAATCTCGCTAAAATTTGGCATAGATGTAGAGCATATTCTGGAAGAACATATAGGCTACAGATTAATTTTTTTTTCACTCCGCGCGGACGGAGTCGCGGTCGACAGCTAGTCTATTATAATTATGAATTTAAGACGCGCATTTATCGGTTAGAGATTCCGGAGCTCTCTTCTATTGCACTTGAGTTTGGCCATCTAGGCGGTTTTAGCTTGTCAAATCCTACATAACCCTATCTTCCCCTTGAATGCTGGGTATCTTTGTAAGATTTCCCTCTAGACACCAAAAAAGGTGTTCAATATTCTTTTCATGTTAGAATTCTACTTTTAAACTATTGTAATCGATTTGACCTGACCACTCTAATCTTATTCAATCAAGAATACAAAATTTACGTACACATAACACTAGACTTAATTGTAAATTGAATAAAGACTGGACCGACGGCGAACATACAGCTGCTTTTTATCACGTAAACACAGATATATATTTATAATGGTATAATGTTCCAGATGGAGCAATGTTCTCGTCAAGGTTACGATGGTCTAATGGATGATCAGAAAACACCAACGTCCAATGAACATCAGCTACGTTGAAAAAGGAACAGATGTGATACAATGCTCAGTTGAATCAAATATTTATCAGGATAAATGAAGTTTTGACGAAAATGATTCCACTAATTTGCCTATTAGGTTCCTTTTTTATATCATAAGGTGGCAAACGAGCGAGTGGCCACCCGAAATCGCTAAAATAGCGAAGCGACCATTGCCCATAGACACAGAAAGAAAATATTTTTCCTTTCCATGCTTCCTCACATCCGGAAAGTCCACTTCCCATCCTTTCCTTATAAGAAAACGGATGGGAAGGGAAAGAGGACTAAATTAGGCCTCCGGGACGCACACTCATCAGACGAAACGCGGAATTGCTTCCACTTCACGCCTGTCTTCTGTGTGGTCGTGGTATTTCACCGGGCGAGCCGGGCCAATTCATGAGAAGACGTTAAAGTGGGCTCTACCACTGTTACAGTGTACACTGTAACTAAATTCTCCTTTGATAGTTTGGACTTTAAACCGAAGTATGTAGAATATTGGCATTTGATTTCTTATGATGATACCGGATCATTTTGTTTAGGTTTTGTAGAATTTCGGGCATGTTTGCCTGAGTTAATACAGATGATATTTATGCTAAAATGCACAAAATGTCTCCATCTTAATAGGCCGAATTCAATGCACAAAGACCAAAATCAGCATTGTTGGATAGGTTCATGATACTACATGCATTTTGATGATTTTTGTTTCTTTTTAGAATCTTAAGCATTCTCTTGTTACTGTATATTATCACTGAGTAAACGATATTTTAATATTGTAATAATTAAAGGTTCTCTGACCCTTAATAAATATGTCATCATCATCATCAGCTCACTATACGTCCCCACCGAGGGGCACGGACCCTACCCTAAATTAAGGGTGATTAGGCCATAGTCAACCACGCTGGCCAAGTGCGGTTTGGTTGACTCACACATGACTTTGAATTTCTTCTCAGATATGAGCAGGTTGCATCACGATGTTTTCCTTCACCGTAAGAACGTCGGATAAATGTACATTTGTAAATCGGAAATCGAAAAACACATTGGTACATGGCGGGATTCGAACCCAGGACCTGCAGATTGCAAGTCAAGTGCTTGACCCCTGAGCCACCGACGCTCCATTAAATATGTAATTTACGATATTAATATAGATATAAGACATGTTACTAACTAGATATGGTTGTCAAACTGATTTTATTATTATTTTATGTTATCCATCCATTATTAAAGTATTCTTTTACTAAACCATAGGTAAATATTTGAACTTGTACAGTTTTCCTATACGAAATAAGATAGGTAAAGAGCATTCGTCGATTTATCGTACCGTGAAACTATTTCACACCCACCTTTAAAATTGACTAGATAGAGCGGTCGAATGCTGCGTTGCTAAGAAAAAATATAGCGCAAACATCCGTGAATTTGATAAAATTGTAGATTTGTTAGGAATCTGTGGATTTGAAATATTAAAATACGCGCCCTGCATCAGGATTTATCAAATACTAGCTGACCCCGCGACTTCTTTCGCTTGGTTGTCGGAAATACTATCGCGATTATCTTTTGTTTGCATTTTTCTTCAATCCTATTTGTCGCATCGTAATGTTATATAGCCTAAAGCCTTCCTATATAAATGGACTATCCAACAAAAAAATAATTTTTGAAATCGGTCGAGTAGTTCCTGAGATTAACACGTTTAAACAAACTATTCCGCTTCATAATATTAATATTGGTTAAAATTAAATCTAGTAAAATAATCATAGACTACAAAGTCTCTTAGAGACAGAATTTTGGCAAATACTTTGTATTCGGAAGTCATATTTAATTACATCCTAAAAGATGTTTTTGTGTTTTTGGTGCAATATCAGGTCGATCGTTTTTTTATTCCTTAATCAGATTAATAAATAATAAACTTTAAAAAACTAATTTGAACTAGTTAATAACAGTTTAGTAATAAAATATATTGTGAGGCAAGTTTAAAAGTCGTTTAAAAAGTAACATTGTGATGCTCCAAATATTTAAACACTTATTGGAAAACGTACAATAACTATATGAATAAAAAACAATACTTAGCAATACTAAGGAATCCAAAAACACATTCCTTTTGCATAACTCATATAAACAATAATTTAAAAGATAAGATAGTCGAAATGAAATGGAACAATAAATACATTGTCTAAAGCTTGACGCATTACAAATGTTATGAGATTTAACACATAACAAACAGATTCTAAAACAATTCACATCAGTGCCAACAAAGTAACGGAGCCGTCAAAATGTGCACCCACTAATAACAAGGATATTCCTTTTGTATAATCTTTTGTGAATGAAAAAATTAAAATATTACTAAAAAGTATGTGTTTAAACTTTTTGGGACAGTATGCTTCGTTCGTGAGAGCGTCGGTGGCTCAGGGGTCAAGCACATGACTTGCAATCTGAATGTCCTGGTTTCAAATTCCGCCATGTACCAATGTGTTTTTTTTCGATTTCCGATTTACATACGTACATTTATCCGGCGTTCTTACGATGAAGGAAAACATCGTGACGCAACCTGCACATATCTGAGAAGAAGATATGTGTGAAGTCAACCAAACCGCACGTGGCCAGCGTGGTTAACTATGGCCTAGTCGCCCTTTACTTAGGTTAGGCTCCGAGCGCCCTCGGTGGGGACGTATAGTGAGCTAATGATGATGCTTCGTTATGCATTTTATTCAACCGCAAAATTAGAGATATTAAAAGCCTAAAGACTTCACTTGGAACATGTGCGGTAGACAGAAGACGACATTCTTTTCTTCATCAAAGATAGAACGGATAACATGATATAGATAACAGTTACTTCACGGATAATTGGTTAACCATCTGACAGTTTATCACCTTCTTTATAAAATCTGTTGAAGATATATATATGGTTACTAGTTACCAATACTAGGCAGCCAGGTGACGTTGAGCTGGAGCTCATGATCGGCTCCTTCCAGAGGTAAAGGATGAACCTCGACGCCCAGCGGTAACGCCGCGTGCTGCACTCCATGCGGTTCCGTCATGCCCGAGTATTTGTCCTGGAAACAAGAAATTATATCAAAAAAACTTATCCATCTCCATTTTATATAAAAACATTCATGAATAATCTTTACTGGAACAGGATTTTTAGGTTATTTTGCCACTTTAACCATAAAATTCAAATACAAATTACTAAATAGTTTTTAGTGTGTTCCAAATTAAATACTATTTTTGTATCAACGCACTGATATTATTCGTGTTGGATTAAAAAAAAAAATATTATTACTTAAGTTTCAATTTTTCATGTACCTACATTTAATTTAATTAATGCATTGAAAAATTTACGAATAATCTCACAGCATCAATATGAAGGATTAACCGTGGATTTCTGAAAGCAAAATCTCCTTTTAAATCATATTGTTTTCTGTGAATTATAAAAGAAAATTTCAGACACCCACGGTGAAAGTCTCGTAAAAATTGGTGTTGAAAATAATATGCGATTTTCACGGATCATTGTACTCAGACAAGATTAAAAATTATATTAATAGACGTTTTAATTACCATATGCGATCAGCGAAAGCGCGATCCAAAGCAAACACATCACACGTCAAATATACAAAGTCTATGGTGACGCAACAACTCTAACAGCTGGCAATATTCAGGGAATATTATGTAAAATAACAGTCGGCTTCTACTGCATAAAAACATTCATTATATTTAAAAAAATCTTAGTAATATCGTTGATTGATGTTTTTTTGAAAGTACCTACAGAACGGTTGCATGAATCTCTCTGTAATTTGGCATAGATGTAGAACTTAGTCTGGAAGAAAACTTAGGCTAGTAATTAACTATTTTAATTCGCGCATTTGAGTCGCAGGCGACAGTTAGTAATTTATAAACTAGTTTAGTTTTAATTCAACGTTAAATTACTTTCTATAGTCTTTTTAAAAGTTAAGAATTTAGTTTAGAAAATCCTGATTTTAATTAGCGGAATTATTATTTTGGTAAAGACTAACTTTTGGAAAACCAGTCCCTTAGTACTAGCTAAGGTTTAAGATAAGCGAGGTTATAGTTTACAAAGATAAGCAGAAAGAAGTATTATTGCTAATCGATCAAAATCTCTTTAAATCTTGCGCGTATTGTAGCACGAATGTAAGCGTTAATGTAGACAATAAATATACGTAGTGTAAACGGCAGCCGTAGTCATGTGGTCGGTCCAATCCATCATCGTAATATTACGATTGCGAAAACTTTTACCGCACCGACATTTTTATGTATTACATCACATATAGAAGTGTTTGTATTTAACAGAGTGGATACTGCTATATGGTTGTTAAATTTACGAGCCATACGTTAATGTAACATTGTGAATTTTTCTTCACAGATGATATTTTTAACATCGCAATTCGTTTTAATCCGATAACGTTTTGTGCGATAAATAGAATAGTTAATATTATCGTAAGAGTTGCACGTCTCCTATATTAATACCTTGACTTGATTTAGTACACATTTAAAGGGATTTGGAGCGTCACGTTGGTGGCTCAGGGGTCAAACACTTGTCTTGCAATCTGCAGGTCCTGGGTTCGAATCCTGCTTTGTACCAATGTGTTTTTCAATTTCTGATTTACATATGTACATTTATCCGACGTTCTTACGGTGAAGGAAAACATCGTGCTGCAACCTGCACATATCTGAGAAGAAATTCAAAGATATGTGTGAAGTCAACCAACCCGCACTTGGCTAGTGTGGTTGACTATGGCCTAGCCACCCTTAATTTATGGTAGGCTCAGAGCCCCTCGGTGACGACGTATAGTGAGCTGATGATGAAAAGAGATTTAAGTGTGATTAATACATATACGCCTTGTAAATACTGGATGCTTTTTGACTTGATTATCGTCGGAATTGCAATTTACCACATCGAGACTATCCAGTGGTTTGTAATTATCCTGTAAGACAAACAGACAAACTTATCTAGCACAGTGAGAGAATCGCCATCGAGGGTACTTGTCAGTCATAGAAAACAAGACAAAAGTTTCAGAGTTTGGGACACTTTTATTGACGTTATACCCCTTCACAAGGCAGCGTAAAACTTCTAAACTCGGCAATATTAGTCGCTAAATTATTTGCACAGTATCATAGAGGTTCGTACATAGAGTTGGTCGCCATCTTGTTATTTACTCGCCGAATGCAGTCGCTAGCAACCTGTTTGTCAAGTTCGCCTTGAGACATGTAGTTTACAGTTACTGTACTGGTACTCCGGTACTGACTGAATAGACGACTCGCGTCGTCGATTCATTTGAGTGTGGAGAGCAAGCAACGTGATGCTTGCGACGCGAGAACACAATATTAACTTCAAAGATCTATTTTGCCTTTTGCACGAAGTGGCTTACATGTGCTAATGAGTTTTTGTTATTTAGTATCACTTATGCCCGGGTCAGATAAATTTGTAGGTCTGTCTGGTAATTTAAAGATGCTTTAATTAACATCTCAAGAAGCTCTCGCTAAACAGTTGGATTAAGGGCCCGATACAAAAGGCAGTTATCCTAGAAACCGCGCGCATCGTGAGAAGGTTCCTGTCTGCTCTGACCACTGGTTGTTTGAGTCATGGGATTCCGCAGCCGGTGGTGTTCTCTTTTTAATATAATATGTTTTTTATATTTTTATTTTTTTTTTTGGATATGAAATGTATTATATTAGAAATATGATAAATAAATGTATATGGAATTATAAAATAATCAGGGTTGGCATTTCACAATCCATTTGAATATGTACTAAAAAAAACTTGGTAATAATTCATGCAACAAACGCAATTGCTAAAAATATACCTAAATACATAAATAGAGTTAAGTACAATTATGCTGAATTTATCGAAGTATTATTACAGAATGAATTTAATACAAAATTATGAAAATAAAATTTTTATTTTATGAAATTTTATTAATATAAAAACTGTGCAATTATTTTTAAGAATATAGCAATAAAAAGTTTTTATAAACTAGTAAATTGTAATATCAATTGTATTTTAAAGAATTAATTTGCTTCGAGAATATAAAATAAAATATTGTGATACCCTCACGTTACTACATTTAGAAGTGAAACCGTAGGAGAACTCTAAGACGCTCCAAACAAGTGATATCAACAGTGGTAGAGCCCGCTTTAACATCTTCGCACGAATCGGCCCGGCTCGCCCGATGAAATAGGCGTGAAGTGGAAGCTATTCCGCGTTTCGTCTGATCAGTGTGCGTGCCGGAGGCATAATTTAGTCCACTTTCCCTTTCCAGCCTTTTTCTTATAAGGAAAGGATGGGAACTGGACTTTCCGTATGAGAGGATGCATGGAAAGGGAAAATGTTTTCTTTCTATGCATTCTCTCCCCCGTCGATTAAAGGTCGACAACGTATATGCAATTGCGTATGTCTATGGGCAACGGTCACTTCGCTATTTCAGCCGCTGGCCGCTCGCTCGTTTGCCACCTTATGATATAAAAAAAAATATCGCGGGATACAACAATTAAATAACATCTATTTAATAAATAAATTATTGTGTAATACATAAGTAGTAGTACAATGAATAAATGACAAAGCATCACTCACATGAAAAGAAGGCAATCTTGGTGGACCGTGACGTAAGTCATATTTACCCCTATGTTCATAACTAAAACTCAAACAAACACCAGATTGTATAAGAAACAGAAACACAACGCGCACTAAACTTAACACATACATAATGTATTGGAACGTAAATTAATTTAATAATATTACAATGTCACATGTTTCTATGATTACAAACTGTGCACCAAACATCCGCGTTGAAAGACATTGATTGTTTGTGACTATCAATAAGATATTGTTAAGTGATTATGATAAGGGGCTTCGGTGACGATTTCAGCCGTAACTGATATAAGCTTTGTTCGCTCTGCGATAATCCACTTTTTCAAATATTAACCGATAACACGCTGCAGTCTTTGCTGTTCAATTCGATTGATTGTGAAACATTTTGCGCATGTACAATATTTTTAATTAACATTTTTAATCTATTGCTTACTAGCTGTCAACCGCGACTCCGTCCGCGTGAATATATAAAAAAAACTTAATTAGTGTAGCCTATATGTTCTTTCAGACTATGTTCTATACGTATGCCAAATTTAATCGAGATCCGTTCAGCCGTTCTACAGATATCTTCAAAGACCCACATCACATCCATCTAAACATTCGCATTTATAATATTAGTAAGTTAAATAAAAAGCAGCTCTTCAAGGCATAAATTCGAAAAAAAAAATGAATAAATAGTATCCTATGTTCGTCTCCTGGCTCTAAGCTACCTCCTCACCAATTATCAGACATATCGGTAAAGCCGTTCTTGAGTTATAAATAGTGTAACTAACACGACTTTCTTTTATATATTTAATCGATCTAAAAAAATGAATTATATGATCTAGCTGTCGCCGGGGACTTAATATGTAAACTATGTGTTCTTTCAGACTATGTTCTATATGTATTCCAAATTTCATGGAGATTGGTTCAGCCGTTCTGTAGATACCTTCTAACAAATCCATCCATTTAAAAATTCGCATTATTAATATTAGTAAGATTGTTTTAAGGGCGATTGAATGAATGTTCTACGTTATAAATCAATTCTGGATCTTAAGTATCGAATAAGTATTGTTAACAGCACTTACAGTGAAATTCTGAGTCCAGAAACTCCGTTTAAAATATTGTTAGCTCTGTTCTGTCAAAGATGATAGACAGGGATGACGATATATTTCAAACTGAGATTTTGTTTTCGGACACTCACGGTTAAAGATCTCCAATCAAAACGGAGACGTGATAATAGGTAAATAAAATAGATATAAAACGTGTTATTTAACTTACGTAAGAATTAAATTGTTTACAAATTGGCACCTGCTGCAAGTGCTATAGTTACAAAATCACTAGCTATCGCCCGCGACTCCGTCCGCACGGTATTAAAAAAAAACTATTGGTCGCAGCGTAATGTTATATAGCCTAAAGTCTTCCTTTATAAATGGGTTATCCAACAAAAGAAGATTTTTTTCAAATCGGATCAGTAGTTCCTGAGTTTAACAAACTCTTCCGCTTTATAAAATTAGTGTTGATAATGTGTTCTATAAAACAAAGAAATAAAAAAGAGAGCACACATTAATGTTTCTACATTAATGTGTGCTCTCTTTTTAAATAACTGACCGCGTTTGAAACAAAAATCTCCGTTTAAAACATATTGTTCTCACTGTTTTGTCAAAGATAATGACAGGGATGACGATACATTTTATACAGAGATTTTGGCAGAAACAGTGTGAGATAAAATAAATGATTTACTGTAAATTTAATAGTAAAACATTGACCTCTACTATTAAATGGATAGGTTATAGCCGTGGTATTTTGTGCCTATTTGATTTGCGCCATTTAGTAGTGAGGATTAGAACTAATAATAGATATAGATTTATAAGGTACATCAACCAGCGCGTGTTAGTCGGAATAAAACAAAACTGTGATTTCCAAGAAATTTACTATCCAACTATAGAGATTAGATTAGCAAAACAATTGCTAGTTTACTGCCTTGTCTAGACATTGGCGCCTGTACAAACCTTGGAAAGTCGAACGACTTTTCTCAATTAATTTCTGTATAACACATTCAAAGACAATTTCATCATGTTCTTACTATCAGTAATCTTTTAAATAAAAGTGTAAATTGATAAAAAAATGTAAAATCATTTTCATAGAAGTACACAGCGTCATATAGATAAGAATATATAGGAGTGGGGGTTGAAATATTGATCAATCCTGTAAATAAGTCTGTTTGTCGAAGTACATTTAAAAATTTAAGTTGTCATCTCTTTCAGACACTTTAATTAAACAGAGACAGCGATATTCTAAATTTCACAACAGTTATAGTCGAAATTATTAAGAAACCTTTTTAAACAATTTTCCTTGTATAAGGAACACTATAGACTTATTAAAAACAGATATGTTTGTATCATAAATACTATAACGTTCCACAATAAATCCATGGACAATATAAGCTAGTGATATGTGTAAATATAGCTTGTCACTTCCATTGAAATTGACTTAATATTTCTCCATTAAACTAAAATCCAGTAATTCTTAGTAACAAAGGAAAATCCCCACTGAGGGGCTCCGATCCTATCGTAAGTTAAATGGTGAGTAAAACATCTTACTTTGACGTCTTTGAATTACTTTTTTGATATGTGCTGGTTGCATCACGATGTTTTCCTTCATCGTAAGAATGTCTAATAGATGTATATATGTAAATAGAAAAATTAGTACATGGCAGGATTCGAACCCATGAACTGCAGATACAAAGTTTAACCACTGAGCCACCGACGCTTTATATAGAACATATCTGTTATTAATAAAGTAATGGATTATTGGGTTATGGTGAAAGTCACACCCGAAGCCGTCGATTACTCGTCATTAAGTTATTAAATTGTCCCGTCTGTATGTTCAGTAATACGACATCGCAAACATGACGAGACAACATAAACATTGTAAACGAAATGTACTTTCAACGGGTCAATACATTGATTAAAATTTTCTATATATAAATTATAAATTATTAACTTTCAAGAAGACTTAATTAGTAGCTTATGTGATCTTCCAGAGTATGTTCTATATGTATGCCAAATTTCATAGAGATCCATTAAGCTGTTATGGAAATATCTTCAAACATCCATCCATCTAAACCAGTCTTTCCCAAAGTGGGCGATAACGCACCCGTGTGAGGCCTGGGGGATGATTTGTAATTTTATTTAGCTAGGAGGTCTCTTAGACGACGACTGCATGAGCTCTCAACTCTCAACAACAACTTGTGAACATCAACTAATATGAATTAAAAGATTGCTTAAACTCTAATATGAGGGCGCTAAGAAAATATTTATTCTCAAAGTGGGCAGTAAACAAAATAAGTTTGGGAAATACTGATCTAAACATTCGCATTTGTAATATTAGTAAAAAGTACGATAAGATTTTCAATAACTGTGGGTTTCTGAGATGAAAATTCACGTTTAAAATATATAATCTCTCTTATGTCAAATATTGTATACAGCGATTTTGATCTTAGAAACCAACGATAATGCTTATTATGTCATTTGCGACAATTAATCAACATTCTATTTGTGTCGATATGTAGATAAATATAATAAAACATTCGTACTTTCTCTCACGTTCAAGTTCATTACTATCAACAGGAAAATATAAAGTTGCTATGGTACGTACACACGCAAACACAAGGCCCGAACTCTGACACCTCGCGGTCTATTCCCGTACGCCTTGACATGTGCGATTCAAGCTGTTTACACTAGCTGCTACGAAATATTGTACGTAACTGTGTGTTTACACTGCCGATACATTTGTATAAAAACATAATCACATCTCTCATGCTGTTTGATAAAACATAGACGATATGTAATCTTATATTATAAACTAGCTGACGCCCACGAATTTGCCCGCGCGGGTATAAAAAAATCTAATGAGTAGCCTATGTGACTATGTTCTATATCTATACCAAATTTCATCAAGATCTATTGTGCCGTTCCGTAGATACCTTCAAACAAACATCCATCCATCCATCGAAACATTCGCATTTATAATATTAGTAAAATAAGAAGTAAGATACATTTAAAGCGCTCTATTCGCGAAGCATTGTTCCTTAATGATAAAATACAGAAACAGCGAATACGGAATGTTAGTTTGTTTGGGATTACAATGAATAAGTATATACGAAAGTTTAGATGGATATATATTTGTTAGAAGGTATCTCCAGACCTTTATATATCTTGGTGAAATTTGGCATAGCCTAAAAGAACAGGCAGGCTACTAATTAAGTATATTTATTCCCGTACAAACGGAGTTCCAGGCAACAGCAATAATTGTCACTTAATTACGTATTTCATGCCGATCTTTTCAATAGGCGGACGTATTGCTTAACAAAACAAGAATGTACTATACATAATACGTAGCTTAGGCGTAGTATTTCTGAATATAAGTCTGTGTCACGGTCGTATGAAGGATTTTTAAACAAGATAAATAAATTTTGATATGATATAACATTGTAAATATATGTACTACGTATTTGGAAAAGTGACGATGGAAAGATTATGTAATAATCCATGGCTGTTGGTAATAGTTTTGTAATTTATTATTGTTTTTTTTATTGTATTTTTAAAGGAGCAGTAGACAACATTGCCTCTGGAATACGTTAAAGAAATCATATGAATAAATTTCTCAACGATAAAAGTTAAAAGGTTACGTTTCTTCGAAGAATTCTAAATTGTACGCGACAACTATCCTACAAAACTTACTAATATTATAAATGCGAAAGTTTAGATGGATTTTTCTTAGAAGATATATCCAGAAAATCTCAACAGATCTCGATGAAATTTGGCATACATGTAGAACATAGTCGGAAAGAACACATAGGCTACTAATTAAGTTTTTTTTAAGGCTATATACCTATATAACTGGTTAAATGCTTTCAATGGTCAACCAACCCGCACTTAGCCAGCGTGGTAGACTATGACCTAACCCTTAATTTAGGGTAGGCTCCGAGCACCTCGGTGGGGATGTATAGCTGATGATGATGATGATGAAATGCTTTAAAATGAAAAACTTACAATTTTTGTCACCGATGTAATTATGGAGACAGGCGTAGTGATAATATTGTTATTTGAAATTACTTCTGATGCGTTGATTACTCTTGTAGATTTTTCAATACTTTCTCTTGTTGTAAGATTTTTCAACTCCTTGGAGTCAGTGTTTGATTGTAATCGCATGTACGCGGGTATCAACATTTTTCTTTGATTCTTTACATCATTACGTATTGCGTTCATATTTGTCGTATTTATGTTAACATTATAATTTGAATTTGTTATATTTAAAGACATTTCTTCTATTTTAATCTTTAATGATTTGACGATGTTATTTTTTATTGTTAAAAGTATCAAGATGTAGCAGATCTCCGACTGCCATAACTTCATTATGATTACATTATTTTCACTAGATTTTCGTTCACATTATTTTGATATTCACACTTTAGTTTATCACACACCTACCTATGTTTCAGTTAAAAAATTACGTATAAAAATCAAGAAATAAAAATGTCTTAAAATTTAATATCATCGTAGTTACCACTAAGAAAATGTATATACAATTAAATACTGTTAAATTCATTATTTAAGAACAAATTAGCAAGATACTTTAAGTTTTGTTCAATTGTGTGCAGTGAAAACTCACTGTTAGATTAAAAATTGTTTTTAAGGTTCCGTACCTTATAGGAAAAAAACGGAACCCTTATAAGATCATTTTGCTGTCCGTCCGTTTGTCTGTCAAGATCTTTTTTCTATAAAACGCGTGAAGGTATCAAGCTAGAACTTATTTCTTATCTATATTCGTGGATTCTTTAGGGATTATTTATCTAAATTTATGAACAATTTTAACCTACATCCTGTAATTTTTTATTAATTTATGAAATAATTTTGTGTAACATTTGATCGCTATATTAAAATAACTTTATAAAAATTAATTATAAATTATTTTTACACTTTTACTAAAATATGTAGGAAGTAATGATGTTGGCTTAATTTTTACAATTGTCAGACCCAGCTTCAATCGCGGCGGTAGCCAGATTGCCCAGCTAAATTATAAGGAAAGGCACTATAGGATTGTCATGTCCGATAAGGACAAAAATCCCAAACAAAATATTATAAAAAATTACTTTATTTATCTTCTTTATTGGTACATTTTAAACTAAAATGCATATACTAAAATAAAAATACTAGAATTTAATATGTTAATACGTAAAACACGATGTAACATAGTTTTTGAAAGTGTAACATTCGCAAAGATTCAAAATAACTTCTCTGATCAATGTTACACTAAGCCAAATAATCGATAACCTTTTCTAAACACTTTTTCTTTGCAAGTGTACAAAAATAACACACTCTTATAACACAGAATGCGTTGTTACAATGAACTTTTTATTCTGAATTGTACCTATTGCTCAATCATTATTTAAGGCGGACTAGAATTTTTTTTATTGTATTAATTCAATGAATTCTGCGATTTAATTTTGCAATAAATTATTTACGTTAATATTACGAGTGATGATATAATATTTAAAAACTTTTATTTATTAATTGTATATATAGTTGTGTGGTAACATATCAATTTACTTTTAATTCGTGTTTATCCCACGCACTTAAATATTAAACTTATAAACACTAATTAAAGTTAAATTTAACACAATTAACAACATTCCGTAAGAAAAAACTTTCACAATGTAACTCTGTATAACTGCTAAGTATTATTCAGCGACGTATTTTATCGCGTACGGATTTTATCACGGTATGAAAATAATTTGGGGCAGGAAATGCGGTGCGTTCGGGAGCCGCCGGGAAACTGACGGGCTCCAGTAGCAACGCCGTTCCCGATCCCCTACTAATGCCAATACTCGATTCAATAAACTAAAAACTCGATCATTCGTTGTGATAAACTAAAATTGTATTTGTTTTAATCAAAATAAAAACATTTCTAACAACAAATAATTTTGTGAATGACGTAATTTTTTCTAAAATTTATTTTTTTTAAATGACCAATAACTGAATCGCCTTTGCCTTTTTCGGATAAAAAAAAAGCAAAATTTTTTCTTTCTACAATGCTGGCCGGAAACGACCAGTCTGTCAGAATTTGGTGTTCAAAAAGTTTGTAATACCTTGAATTTGATTTTTAAAATAATCTTTACACTAGTATTCGTAGTAGTGGTGTTATATCGTTGAATTTGGGATTTTTGTTTACAGTTGTCTAAGTTAATACAGAACGGGCGAACGGCGGCAAAAGTTTAATTTACGTAAAAGGTATCAGACACTTGAAATGTAATAATATTAAGACGTAAACGAATTTTAAATCGAGAACGTTCTTATTTCGCCTTTATGTGTTTTTTTATATAATATATGTTACGGTAAGTGTATTTGAAAATTATTAATCATTTTCTTATCATTAATGATTACTAAAAGTAACATTAAACACATTTTTATAGTTTTTACAAATCTTTGTGACTGAATTTCCCGCGAGTCGTTGCGCTGAACACAATTTTAGGTTAGCACCGCGCACGGTGACCTTGGGCCACCAAAACATGTGATAGTTTAGGTTTAGAACACATCAATATTAAAAACCAACAAGGGACAAGGTAGGTAGGTTAAGAAAATTTTAAAATAAGTCGAAGTCTACTAGTTAGGTTTGCAACATTTTTTATAAAGTAAATCGTTGCCGAAACATTTTTTAGTATTTTTAAAATTGATTTCTAGTTACTTTAAAGTAAATGAGATTGTTGTTTTTGTATATTTAAAAATTTTCTTTGACAGTTTTTCTATAACTAAAAATGCGATATATTGACAAAAAACATATACTTGCTTGATTTGTTTTTATAAAAAAAATCGTCAATGGAAACACATGTATAACATACCTTGTTCATGCTTCTCTTAACTGGTTGTTTTTTTTAAATCCAAATCAGAATTACTCTCACTAATTACACATTTTACTGCCAATAATCGTGGCTTCCAAAATATATTCAATAAAACACTTTTTATCACACAATTATATGAAATTAGATATTTTAAATGTACGATATCACAGCTCAGAATACTTTTGCATTCAATAATTAAAATATATATATGCATATCGTAATGGCCGCCACGTAAGATGTTCGTTTTCTTAATTCCAGCGTTGGAATGAAATGTCTTTAATGTTTTTATAAGATTTTTTTGATGTATAAAATATCTATTTATACCAAATTGAATAGACTCTTATATATCTATTACTCTTCTTTTATGTGTCTAATGGGAAATAATGATATATTATTTACGACGTTTTTACGGTTGCGACATTTTATCCTTTTTGCTGGAAATATAATTGAATACTAGTAAAGCGTTAATAATTTTTATTTAGCGTATCGTTATTTGATGTCTTTTTAACAATGAGTTTTGATTGCCAAAACACTTGTATAATAACATATTTGTTATTATTTGTATCTTTGTATACATGTGAAATTCTTAATTCTTTTTAATAGCAGCGTTTTACCTGAAATAAAACGCATATTAAAATACTTACCTAACTGGAAGCTTTATTATGAGAGAGCATTTCCGTTTCCGTCGAATTTCTACCAGTTTTCGTACTTTTAAAGGGATGTTTCCGGCAAAGTGGCGCCACCTGGCGGGGGCTGTCTTTTAGTTTTCGTAAAAGAAGACGTGCCCTTTTGAATCATTGGCTTTGTTTTCACCAGGGCGAAATTAAAGTGAAAGCTTCCAGTTAGGTAAGTATTTTAATATGCGTTTTATTTCAGGTAAAACGCTGCTATTAAACAACTTGACCGTAACTGGAAGCTTTATTATGAGATATGTTTGTTATTCGCCTGGTGACGCCACTGTAAAAGGTTAATATTATGTTTATCAACGCCAATGTGAGATGTGATGAGAAATAAAAATTTTATTAATCAGAAAACTTTTATTTCTTTGATCAGTTTTGTAAATACATAATTATTAATCAATTCGCCGGTAAAAATAATTGGGTTAGATTTTGTGAATCTTGTGATTTCCTTACTTCTCGTTTATAGAATTTGTGGAATGTATTAGCTGATTGCCAATTTCCACGAGTTAGGATTTCATCAATTGGAGTATTTTCCAGCCAACTTTTGGATGCTACAGCTGATCGGATACTGCCTGGCGTAGCCGTAATGCCAGCTTCTTTAAACAGAGCCTTTATCCAGCCTGAAATTACTGTACGCGATGCGGGTTTTGCAATGCCTCTTACTGTTATAAAAAGATTAAACGATTTTGCAGTATTACGTCTTTCATGTAGCAATTCTATCGTCTTCTCTACCCAAAATACAGGATTGAGATTACGATTATTTGTGTTTGAAAGCAATTTCCAACCAGACTGTCTGTAATTACTGTTGTCTGTTTTTGAACCAAATTCCGGCCAAAATACAACACTATCTTGTGCTGTCACAATATGCTCAGGATCTACTTTAAGCAAGGTGAGATCATGTACACGTCTTCCTGAACACAATAGTAATAAGAGTGCTGTGTGTCGTGATGTCTGGTATACATTATTTATGTCTATAGTGTAGTTGGCTAAAAAGGAAGATAATTTACTAACATCCCAAATAGGTGACTTGGAACTCTTTGGAACTTTAAGAGCAATTGATTTACATATGTGTTTAACAAGAACATGTGAACTTAACTGATTTGATGTTTCTGAATTACATAAGGTAGAAACTACTGACTTATGTAGTATTATAGTGTTATATGATAATTTATGTATCAAATGTAAATCGGACAAAAATTGTGCTAGTTGGGCACCAGTGGGGTTTTTTGGGTTAATGTTTTTATCGTTACACCATAGAGTCCAACGGTTCCAAGCAACCTGGTAAGTTTTTAAGGTTGATTTTCGCCAAGAGTGCCTAAGCAATGATAACTGATCAGTGTTCCATGATTCTAGTGCTTCAGTCCACCCCCACATCTCCAAATTTCGAGTGTCATGGACTCCACTTTCTGCGGTGGTAACCTCGTTGATGTGTCGATCAGACGATTGCGTAAATTGTTCAATGTGAACGGGGCTTCGAGTGCTCGCGCTTTGAGGTCTGCGCGCCAAAACACTCTCTCCCACCGTGGAACTACTATCAAGAATATTCCTGTCGATTGATTCAAGTGTGTTAGAACTCTGGGGATCAGGAACGGTGGTGGAAATACCCATGCAAGTGGATAGATCCATGGAACACTGAACGCATCGTGAAAGAGAGCTTGGTGATCGTTCAAATCCCGAGATACATAATTGTATACTACGTGAGCAGTCTTCGAGGCGAATAAATCTATCACTGGAGTGCCCCATTTTGCAAACACCATTTCCACACAAGCCGGTAGT